GAGACGCGGCCGCCCTCTGGCGGCTGGGCTGTCCCCGGGCTGTCCCTGGGCTGTCCTGGGAGCTTGGAGGTTGCACGGACGGGGACGGAGTTGTTGCTGGTGTAGACCTTGCTGGTGGGAGGACCCGGGTAAAGCGGGTGACACTGCTGAGCTTAGGACTCCCATCTGTAAAACGTGGGGAGCAGTAATGACGCCCCAAGGGATGTCGGGGAACCCACCTGGGCTCACCTGTTGCGGATTGGGCAGCGTGCGCCGCTGTGCTGTGCAGCCTGTGATTCCCAGGCCTGTGCCTTTTATTGGAGAGTCAGGAAAAAGCGTTATCGAGCTTTTAAAAAACTAGGCCCTAAAACAAATACCGTTTCCTTGAGCCAGAAAAGCCATTTTCCCACGAGCACAGACAGGAAGAAGCCACCGCGATGGGCGGCCCTGCCGCCGTCAGGCGGTGGGACCCAGCCTGGTCGTTCACCGGCCTGTCGGACTCATTGTCCCCATCTGTGAAATGGGACCATCACAGGGCCTCCCCGGGCCCCATCTGTGAAATGGGACCATCACAGGGCCTCCCCCGGGGTGTGTGTGGGGAGGCGTGTGTGTGGCCCACAGCCAGCGTCCGTCCCCGCTGTTGTTATTGCAGAAATCAAACCATCGGTCATTTTCTGAAGGAGGTGGATGCCGAGTCGCACAGCCGTCTCCCTCTCTGCTGCCTCTCCCTCTGCGGCTGGCGGCAGGCAGGCTGTGGGGGGGAGGGGGACGCCGGGCGGGGATTTGAGGCCGGTTATGACCTGCAGTCTGAGCCTCCCACGGGAAGGCAGGGTGGAGAGGGGTCGGTGCCCGAGGCTGGAGACTCTCGTGCAGGGACAGGCTGAGGCGGTAGCCCAGTGAGCACGTGGATGGACGTTCATGGGTGTGAGCCTGGAGCCCCGCCCCTCCACCAGGGCCCAGCGGAGGCCACGCCCTCTAGGATGCCTTCCAGGGCTCCCCAGGCAGCTAGTCGCCCAGTCGCTGGGGCTGCTTCCCAAGGAAGTGCCAGGAGGTTGAGACTTGAGGTCAGGAGCACGGACTTATTCACCTGTGTCCATAAGGCTCATCATAGACGTGCCACCCATGCTGGCGGCCTTCGTGTGGGGGAGGCTGGTGAGTCTTTGTCAGGCGATGGTGGTGATGATGGTGATGATGGTGGTGATGATGGTGATGGTGGTG